GGTATAGAGGAAAAACTTAGCTATGATAACATTTTGTAAAAAACTCTCGAACGTCGGTTGTGGCTGGTCACAAAGCAAGCATACCTCAAGCCGATGAAGATGACAATGTAAATCGAGAGTTTAAGGCAAGCATCTGCAAAATGGTGCCTGACGAAACCGTATTGTGGATGATGAAAAAATTCGTTGGAGGACAAGTGGCATACCCACTGGCCACTTGTAGTCGTAATGGGATATTTGCTAATAAGGTTAAATTTGTAATTTCATACTATTTGCCCATCTAAATTTTACCCCAAACCAAACATACTTTTCATAAACTTTCAAAAATTTCCCTGGTTAAATTTCTCCCAACCAAACTACTTTTTTACACTTTCCTATCTAATTCATTTTCCCTGCAGGATCCCTAGTAATTACATTTCCCGGTGAACCAAAAAAAACCCATCAATCAAACACCACCTAAATGCATTCCTTACTTCCAAAGTACATTTGAATTAAAGTATTGGAGGACCAATACCCATAACATCTTTAAACACCAGAGTAAGTTGCCAGCCACCAATCATCCTACTTAACAAAAAAAGGAAAACAAAAACAACAAACAAAAATAAAAAAACATCAATGGTGCATAACAGCCCAATCCCTTAGCACATCTGTTAGGGAAATGCCTTTAAACAGAACTATGTCTTTACACATCTATAATGAACCTAAATAGTTGCTGGTGCTCCAAATCTTGAGCATATAGCAAAAGTAGCGTATAAATATATACACATTAGCAAAGATGATCAGACCAAAGCTTAAGCAAAACAAAAAATACAACCAAGACAAAGAAAATCTGATCATAGTAAAGTTTAAACAAAACACAAAATAAAGTCCCACCACAGCTGCGCCAAAATTAAAACCATAGTTGTAGCAAAGTGCACTATGACCAAAAGCATCCAATCATGCATTCAAAGTTTCTCAATCAATTGTATCTAACATTGCCTTTCTCCTATCAGTAGACATAGCAAGAAACATTTCGCTCCAAGTAGGCTCCACAAATTTTTTCAAAGCCTTAATGTAGATGTTATTTGCAATGTCTTCAATCTCTTCAAGGGAAGCCACACACTTTGTTATAGAATAGTCTGTAGAATAGTATGAAGAAGTGGCCCTATATTTCTCTGCTCTTGCAAAAGAAACTTCTGCTTTTGTTTTAGATGCTTTAGCCCATGCTTGAAGTGCATCTGCCATTTGAAATGTTTTAGACTCTTTGTAAGACTTACGTTCTCTTGCTTGAATTTTGCGTTTTCCTCGATGTGTGGTTTGCTCAATTGTTTGCAAGTCATCATTTGAACTATCTTGATTAACATCTACGTGAACACCATTATTAAGGTATTGATTTTCAAGCTCAAGTTCTTCATCTGTATTTGGTGGGTCTTGGGTAGATGATTGATGAAGGACTCCGGTTGCAGTACTTCTATTAAATAAGATTCCTAATAACTTGTAATGCTCACATCCTTTCTTTTGAAATTGAGTAGCCTCTGGATGAACCTAAAATAGTAAAATATTGACAAAAAAATAAGTAAATCATATTATAGTCAAAAGATACTTAAAATGATGACAATTAAGTAAAACCATAACCTTACAAACAAAATATTAAATATACCCGAATATAAGACTGCCAAACTTCTTCACTAGCAGTGACAGTGTTGGTTCCAGGATCCCAACCAAATCCACGTGTGTTGCAAGAGTAAAGAGATCACGATGCTTAGTTCGTATTCTATGGAACTTTTGCTTTATTTGCTTGACACTAAAAGACCGATTACTTATGAAATTCAGTTTATCTTTTATGGAATTCCATATTCTAGTGTAAAAAACACCATTCTGCATATTTCCTTTGGTGAACTCATCAACCATAATATGAATGTAATCCTTAATTATTGAATCAAGCCAAACCTTTGCATCATTTTTTCAGCATTAGTTTCCATCTATCATATGAACAAGCATTGAAAGTAAGTAAGGAAATCAAGTATATAGCTAAATATACTACCAAAAAATTAACAATAACCTACAATTTTACATATTTTTTCCATCAAAGAAGGCAAAAAGAGAATCATAGAGCTACCATTTTTGCAAAAGCAATTTTGCATACAAAAAGTGTTATATTCACATTGCAGGCTATTTGCCCATACAACACCACAACAAATTTATTTACTGATATTAATGAATCACAACAAATTTTGGGTCCTACTCTAACTTCCCAATCAGCTTCCATTAATGTCAACAAGAATGTAATTGTACATGAAAAGATTGAAAGCAAGAAGAATGCATAAGCATTTATTTTGATTCTGTTTATTCTTTCAGCTTCTTCATTTTTCTTTTTCGGTAAACATTTTTCTGAGGTATAAAAAATAACTCATGTAATCTCATTTTTGTACTTAATTTCTATTATTTTCTTCATTAATTATTATAGTAAAAATGACGACTCAATCTGAAGTCTAAAAATAAGTCCATTTCAACCAGGCAAAATCCCAAATATCTTCTTCCTAACCAACTGGACAGAAGCCCAACCCAATCTATCAAACCATAACCAATAAATATTTTTTTAGAATATAAACTAATTCTAATAAGAACGAAAAAGGGATTGAGAGAAGAGCAAAAACGAACTCTGGCTTAAGGTTCAAACAGAGCAAGACGGTGGGTCATTTGGACTTGTGATGACAAAAGGGTGTCGGTCATGGTGACTGGCTATGGTTTATTTCTGGCGAGGTTTCTGATTTGAAGATGGAGAAAAGGTTATGGTTGGCTGAGAGGGTGAACTTGCTTCAATTGGGTTTGGCTATGCAGGGAATTGTGGCGGTGGCCTATGCTGGATATAGGCATAACACTTGTTAAAGAGAATGTGTTGTTAAAAGAAGAAGCAAAAAGATTGGTTTTTGCTGGGACAACATTTGTTCAAAAACTAACAAAAGCATACCAACTTTACAAACATCTAACGAGAAAAGATCTTAGTAAAAGAAAAAAAACCTGAGAATTGCTTCCAAAGATGAAGAGAAGATGAGTAAATCCTTTCGCGCTCACTGGCCTCAGCTTCCCGCTTACTAGCTAAAGAAGGTTGCTGAAATTCTCAAACCCTTACATTTCACATATGTTGTAGAATAATGAAACATCAATATTTACACAATTGCCATTAATGAGAATAGCTATTCTCCGTGTTTTTGCTTATTTTTAGAATAGATAACTGAAAAGGAGAATCAAAACATCATTTAGGTGTTTCCTAACTTTTGTTTTAAAAACTAAAATCCAGTTACTGTTTTAAAAATTATTTTTCAAAACAACTTTGCCAAACAACTTTTTTTGTTTTTTAGTTTTTAAAATTTTAAAACTGTTTTACAAAACTAAAATCAAACACGCCCTATGTTTTTGTGATTGTATCTCCCCAAGATCATTATTTCTAACTCAAACTACCTATAAAGTTACTGGGAATCATATAGTCTCTTGATTGCAAAGAACCAACCATAATTTACATTGGACTCAAACTTAGATAGCAAACTCGAAATGGGTTTTTCAATACTCGTTGCGTTGTAGTTTTGGGCTTTTTATAGTTTATTTCATAATTTAGGACTTTTCAATAATTGTTAATTATTTCTCCTTTTGTTATTCTTAAATTATGTTAGAGTGCGCGTTATCTCCTTTGATTACGCATGATTATAGTTATTTATTTATTTTGTTATTTTTGCTTTGCCTATTTAAGACTTGGAGAATCCTATTGTTATTTGGTTGTTTTTGGTTAAATAAAATTCAGAAAAGAGAAATAGTATTTTCTCGCACTTCTTGTGTTCGTTCTTCTTTCTGTTTAGCCAATTGGTTACTGCTTTCGCATTATTTTCGCTTAAGCATTTATTTTATGCTGTGTTTTTGTACCATATATATGTTAACTAATCGGTTGCAAACGGGATATTATATTTACCGTGTGTTGAGTTACTATCATGATAAACAATTATCTTACCTTAAAATTTAAGCTAATAAGTAAAGACTCATAAATGATTTTTATATTTCTCACAATAGAATGAAAACATTTTTATCCTCTCATTTTTCAACTTCCTCTTTCTGTTTTTTTACCATCCCAACTTTCTATCAACTCAAATAATCGCATATATCTTGTTTGATTAATTGCTTTATGTGGCTACTTGAGCACCAGACGTTGTGCTGGATGTAGTTTTAATGCATTGTGGTTGGTTCGAAAGTACTCTTTATTATATTTAAAACCGCGTCGTATTCATAAGAATTTTTTTTTAAGAAAAATGTAATTGCCGCCAATGTTTGTCAATTGCGAAGGGAATTAAAATGACTGAAAAAACCCATTTAAAAAATGGTATTTGAAATAAGACAGAGGTTAGGAGTCAGGGGAACACTAAATCTCAGAACATCCCTAATACGCCCATCTTATGATGCTATCATAAATTAGTTGTACAAATTGATACGCTTTTTTGAAATAAAAATTATAAAAAGTTAATGCTTGATGACGTAAATTCCCTCGTGGTGCTTAAATAAAATATAAATATGGATTTGGGTTAAGACGAAAAAGTTATTGGGCCTTGGATTTTGTTTGTTTCTCTCCTTTTTTCTTCCTTTTCTTTTCGTAATTTTTTAATTATTTATTTTTTCATTTTTGCCGAAATAAAATAAATAAAATGACCCAAGGTAATCACACTTATTCAAAAAAATAACAATAACCCAATTATTTCATTCAACAGTTTTCTTTATTGATATAGCTTGATTTGGATTGCCTCCCCCACCCCGTGATAAAATCAACCCAACTCACCGTAAACAAAATTAATAAGTTTATATTTGATTTTCCATTCCTTTGAATTATGCCTGTTGTCTTCTCCTTTGTTTCGATATTTGAGAAATGCAAATTAATCACCGAATTACAACAGAGGAAAATGTGTTTCCTAATTTGATTCAAATGACAAATTGTGAGCATAACATATAAACCGGCGAGCAGTTATCGACAAAAGTTGTCTAATTTGATTTCAAAGAAAAAAAACAAAACAAAGCATGTCTCATTTATTTACCCATACATTCATCAATCATCACTATAGTAATGAGAACGATACAACATACAAGTAACATTTTTTTTTCCCTATGTGGCCATGTAGCAAAGCCTATGTATGCAAAATACTATCTAATTTTTTATAACTCAGACAATTTCGTCTATACTAGTAACAGAAACAATTTCAGATCCTCTGGGCATGTCAAACTCATCATTGAATCCATGTCTTCCCTTCCATATATTGCTCATATTATTGTAAACTTCAAGCATTGTTGGCCTTTGATCTGGAAAAGGCCGAACACACTCACAAGCAACTTTAAGGAGAGTACACACTTCATTTACAAACCCTTCCCCAGCCAGAGATTTATCAATTGCATTATAAAAACTTGAAGGGTTACCACAAAGGTTAGTAGTGCTGAATGAACAGGACAGTTCATTATATGTTTTTCCTGTAATCAGTTCAAAAAGTACACTTCCAAAGTCATAAACATCCTTCTTCCCATCATTTACTTTGAATATCATGCCGAAATCATCATCAGTGTTGGGATTCATAAATTTGGCCTCTCCAAAATTGGATATTTTGGGTTCAAATTTTTCATCTAGTAATATACACTCGGAACATATATTAAGATGCACTATTTGCAAATTGCAGCTATGATGGAGCCATGACAATCCTCTTGCTATCCCAATTGCAATGTCGACCCTCTCAAGCCATTTCAATATCATGACTTCACTTCCTACAGGATGCAACCATTTGGAAAGCCTTCCATTTGACATGTACTGGTATACCAAAATCTTTTCATTTCTTTCCATGCAGAAGCCAAGCAGGGGCATTATATTTCTGTGTCTGTACTTACCCTGAATCATTATTTCTGAAAGGAACTGCCTATTGAACAGCTGAGAGTCTGATAATAGTCTCTTGACAGCTAAGAACTGACCATTAGGTAACTTTCCCTTGTACATTATTCCCATCTTCCCCACCCCAATGGCATTGTCCATAGCAAAGCAGTCAGTTGCATCATGGAGTTCTTCGAACAATATTGTGGAAGTCAAACTTTCCAATAGGACAGAGATCTGTGGATGCAATTCACAACTATCAATCTTTGCTATGATTTGTAACACAATCTTATTATTTGGAATTATTTGATAACATTAAATTAAATGTATACAATTATTTCAATAAAAAGGCTTAAGCTCTTAAGCCAACGTTACATTAATGATTTTATATATTATATCTCTAACACATCCTTTCATGCCAATAGCCTTATAGGATTTGAAGTGTGGACAATATATATAGACTCTACACATCAAGAGCCCTTTTAAAAATTGAAACATGATAATTCACGGCCCATCACACCAAGAGCAATTTCAGGATAAGGGTGCTGAAATTTTTATGCAAAGAACAATTTGAACATGATTTTATATATTTATATCTCTAGTAATAACAAAGAATTCAAATCAGGGTTTGTTGAGAGAAGAAGAGAGTACCTCTTTACTTCCTTTCTCTACCAACTGCAGAGGTAGCAATTCGTGCATCTGATAGTAGGTAAAAGAATCTTCACAAATCCCATCCCTTTCCCATATGTGACTCATCTTACTGTATACATTAAGCATCGTAGGCCTTTGATCAGGAAAAGGATGAACACAGTCACATGCAACTCTGACAAGAGCAGAGACCTCATCTTCAAATTCTATCTCGTTTAAATATTTATCCATGTCATCATAGAAGCCACAAGGATTCTCCAACAGATTTGTAGGATTAGGATATGTGAAAGTGGCAAAAGGACAATTGGTATTGCTAAAAGAGTCACTTATATCTCCAAATTTCCTACCCCTAATGAGCTCAAAAAGCAAAATTCCAAAGTTATAGACATCCTCCTTACAACCCCCGTTCGTGCCTATATCATGATTCAGAAACATGGCCTCTCCAAAATTAGATATTCTGGGCTCAAAATTATTTTCTAATAAGATGCACTCTGAACTGATGCTATGATGAACCATATGCAAGCTATGATGGAGGCAACATAAACCTCTTGCTACCCCAAGTGCTATTCTAATAACCACTGGCCATCCTAATCTCGTGACATCATCCCTCAACCAATCGGAAAGTCTTCCATTTGACATGTATTGATACACCAAAATCCTTTCATTTCCTTCTTCATCTTTGCAGAAACCATGCAAGGGAACTATGTTTCTGTGATTGTATCTCCCCAGGATCATTATTTCTAACTCAAACTGTTTGTTAAGCAACTGAGAATCATATAGTCTCTTAATTGCTAGGAACCAACCGTTGGGAAGCATTGCCTTGTACATTATCCCAATCCTTCCCGCTCCAATGGCATTTTCCATGCTAAAGTAGTTGGTTGCAGTGCAGAGTTTTGTGAAGCTCATTCTACAAGTGAACCTTCCAACTTCATTGATCTGTTGATGTAATTCATCACAGAGAATTAATAAATACCAGTAGCATGTATCAATTCGTTAGGTAAATTTTAGAAGGATCCATTTACAATTTTTATTTATAAATTACACTAAGTATAACCGGTCATACACTCTTAACTGAAGTATGACCTGTGTATGACCGATCATACGTAGTGTAGTTTGCAAAAGTTTGTAAATATAACATTCTCCTTTCACATTAATAATTTTATATTATATTTTTCTAACACACCTCATCGTAAAAGAAATTACATAATATTAAATATTTATTAATAGAACAAGGCGATAAGGATTGAACTTATGACCACCTGGTCACAGAAGCTCTAATATTATATAAAGAATCAATTCATCTCCCAAAAATTTAAGTTGTTAGATAAATGTCTATTTTAATTTATCTCTCTCTAACTGTTATTATATATTCCTTTAAAAAAAATTATTGAACCAGGTATTATTTATTATTGAAAATGTTTAATAACAATGAAGTTTCAGAGAGATCACAGTTACCTGTATTCTTTTGTCTAGCAACTCCACAGGCAGCGGTTTACCTATCTGTCTGGCTTTCTTTCGTTTCTGTGCATGGATATGCCACAATAGATTATTATTAATGACAGCAAAGTCTTTCAATACTATATTTATTCCTCTCTTTTAGTTTTAAAGAAATCTCATAGCTAAAATTACAATATGAACATTTACAAATTTTTTTTGCTGAAAATTAAAATTAAACATCTACAATGTTATATAGTAGATTAGAGAGTGATGCTCAGTACTTTTTTTTTTTTTTTTTTTTAATATCACTTTCAAAACCAATACAAGATTTTGGTAAACAAAATTAGATGTTTCCTTCAAAAAGAAGTAGACTTTGTCACTAAACCGATATCTGGGCTCAAAAATTGTGAAAAATAAAATAAAATTTTAACACCAAATAAATGAGCAAACTAACATTTCTGCATACCATCTTTAATCCAATTAAATCAAAATGTTCAGAAAGAGAGATGCAAAGGGATAGACTACCTCTTTGATGTTGTCCTGTTTCAACCCCTGATGTGGGGATTTACATTTACCCTTGTTTCTTTTCCTCTTCTTGAAAAGTTGTATAGGTATACAATAGGACATATAAAAAACTATGACAAATGTTGCAGCAAAAATATATCCAGCAAGAAGACCTTGCTTGAATGAATCATGGAACTGGTTAGAGGATTCCATCAAACAGCTTATCTCGATGCCCCGAACTTGTCACTTTGATTTGTATTCTGGCAAGAGACACGCACAAATAGAAACTTCTTGAATAAATATATCTTCGTCGTTCTCTTCCCATATAATAGCAACTAAATGATAGTGCTTGCTTAACACGAAGAAGTACAGGGAACAAAGGTATGTAAATACTTCTTTCTTATTCATTTATTTATAAACCATCTTTACCCACGTTTGGTGATGTACGTGTCGGCACAGCCACCATACATTTCATTCCTTCTTTCTTAAATTGCATCTGGTTCTAATCACTGTGAGGGAAAAATAATATTTCCATATCAGTTTTTAACCAAACTGTTACAGAGTGTTTGGTAGGAGAAAAAAAAAAAAAATTGCCCAGAAGAGTGAAGTAAAGAAAATAATTTAGTTATGTTTGATAGGAGTAAAGTAAATAAGTGATTGTGAAATTTTTTTTTTGATGGGTAACAATCTTACACATGATATCAATAAGAAATATTACCATCCAAGGTATGGTAAAACAATTTGCCTATAACAATATTATTAAATTCGGCCCGATTATTAATTCGGTCGAGGTACTGGATCGTTGGGTCACCGGTTCAATCAGTGGGTCACTGATTTAACTGCAAGACCCGGTAAATATATGTAAATCTTCAATTTATATTAAAAAAACTATAAATATACTTAAATACTTATAAAAAAATATACCAATTTTAAATATTTTAATATGAAAATAATAAATTATACATCATTGTCTAACAAAAGATCAATCAAATATATATTATTTGTAATACTAGTGTTTCTGGTTCAGTAAACGACATCTTTAACTATAAATCAAATCAAAATTCCCTGCATATTGTATAATCAAGATAATATTAGTGTTGTAAGTATATAATCTATATAAGTTAATAAGCTACAAATCACTTAAATATTTCAAAAGAAAAAAAAAACTATTTGTGTTTGAGAATAAAAAAAATAGACATTAATTTATGAAAATAAATTAATTTTTTTATATAGATCAGCCCGAGTCACTGGTTGAACCGATTGGGTCACCGATTTTTACGAAAACCGGTCGAGTCGTACCGGGTCACACCAATTCTGTAACATGACCGATCCAATATAAAAATCGAACTGATTACATGACCAGTTCACCAGTTTCCAAATAGACTCGACCGAGTCGGTCTGATTTTTATAACATTGACCTACGGTCAACACATTTTTTTCATTTTACCCGACAATAAATTTTGATATAAATACCCGATTATAAATTTTTTCCATCATGTTTCCCACAATTTTTTTTTTGACTGGTAACATCATAGACTTGAGAAAAGTTGCATTGACGTCAATAGTTCCATGTGAAAACTCTGATTTCTACTTTCAAGGATACTCTCTTTGTAACATCATTGACTTCAGAAACGTTGCATTGACGTCAATAGTACCCTGGACTTGGTCTTGGTGTTGGATTTTCGAATATGTTCCAGGATTACAATACTAATCCATGATCTTTATTAAAAACGAAAAAATTTCTTTCATTTATATCCTTATTTTTTTTTAAATTTTTTTAAAATTTTTTTTTTCTATTTTTAAAATTAAGCAGCAGCTCCCGGAGCACATTAAACGAGCTCCTTGGTGGCACCACCGGCAGAGGCATTTTACGTTAATAATTTGTTTTCTAATTTTAATTCTTTAAAAACCTGCATTTGAATATTAATTTTTAAAATATTTCTTTCTAAACATTAGAAAGTTAATTTTAAAATATACATTTTGGCTTACCATATATATATATATATATATATATATATATATATATTTTAATATTTTTTTATTTTACGTTATATTAGGGGCTAGATTTCTTTTAAACCGATTTCTCAATATTTTTTATGTTATAAATGTACATTGAAAAGTTGATTAGGAGAATCAACTTAATGTGATAATAATAATAAAAAAAAACAGCCTAAAATTCATCATTCATTGAATCTATGGTAAAACTTTTCAGCAATGTTTCTTTCCATTATATTGTGCAATTGACTTGATAGAGTCGATAAAATTATGACTTATATATTGTATCATCATAGAAACAGCAGTGGATTAATTTTATAGGCACAAGAATATCTTTATCATTTCTAAAGATTTATTTTCTTATTTTATTAAGATTTAGATTAGGTATGGGCTAAGTCCATTAGTATTTATTTATATATTATATTCTCCTGAATCAATTCAATATACAAATTTATTTTAATGTTCCATTCGTCTCATGTTATTTTACATGATATCTAAAGCCTATCGAGAGGAATCTTTGTCTGTCTTTCCTTATTTTTTTCATAATTGTAATTTAGTAATAGAGAGGTATCACCCACCATGAGGGATTACTTTTCCCAACTTTTACTTTTCTTTTTCTCTCTCTGCTTCTCTTAGTTTTTTCTTCTTGTTCTTGTCTTCCATGCGCGCTCATTGTCGTTCAAGCCGCACCTCCAACAACAACCACACGCGCCTTCACACGCCGGCAAGGAGCCGCACATTTTTCTGCACAACAGCATCTTCGCTCCGTGCGTGACGGCGTGTGAGACCTCCTCTGCAAAGGCGGACCCAGGGGAGGGGCTAGGGTTGGCCACCGCCCCTCCCTAATTTTTAGATTTTTTTTACTATATATATATATATATATATATATATATATATATAATTGTGGGCTGAAAAAAAAAATAATTCTAGACTAAAAAATTTGAAGTAATTGGGCTAAAAATTTCAAAAAAACTTAAACAAACATAACTTTAGAAATTGAAATTGTAGTTTTTTCCAAAGGAAGGAGCAAACTTTTAGGGCTCAAGAAAAAATTTCAGAATCAGGCACACTTGATTATCAAGAGGGTGGCGAAAATCATTGTCAAAGAAGACAACAGCAAAACACACAAATAGGGGTTCCAATTTTTTGAGCTAAATATTGGGGAAGAAAAAGAGCCCGCATCCATTGTCGAATAGAAGATAATTAAGACCAGACTTCAAAATTGAATGGAAAACCAATTTCTTGATGATTCTTTGATTACATATGTTGAAAAAGAAATTATTTTGAATTTTAGCACAGATTCAATTATAGAAGAGTTTAATAATATGAAAAAAAATGTAGAAAGAGATTTAAGTGAATTGACCTTAAATTTTGTAATAAAACTCTTTCAAACTTTTTATATTAGATTCATATATGATTGTATGTACTTTTCTTAATAATAAAAAAAAAATTCGCCCCCCTCTATAAAAATTTCTGGGTCCGCCACTGCTCCTCTGGCTGCATCTCTTTCCTCCGGCCGAATCTTGTTTCTTCCGGCTGTGTTTTCTTCTTCTTCGGTGATTTTTTATTTTTATTTTTATTTTCTTTTATGGCTTGTATTTGGCTAATTTTATTTTATTCGCACATATATTTGTGGTGTTATTCAAGTCTGATTTGACTTGTATTTGATTTATTTTTGTCATTATTTGACTTTATTTTGGCCTCCCATTTAGGAGGAGTGTTTATCTCTGTTGTTGCATGGTTTGCGGATTATTCGAGTTACACTGGCTCCATCGGCTTGTATTCCAATTGCAGCATTTATCTCCGTTGTTGCCTGGTCCACGGATTATTCCAGTTACACTGGCTCCGTCGGCTTGTATTCCAGTTGCAGCATTTATCTCCGTTGTTGCCTAGTTCACGGATTATTCCAGTTACACTAGCTCTGTTGGCTTGTATTCTAGTTGCAACATTATCTTTTTCTAAGCCCTTCCTTGGCTGATGTCTTTTTCTTCCTTTGCTGATGTCCATTCCAGCATCGTCTTTTTACCAGCTCTTCAAACTGATGGTCATTCCAGTTGATTTGCTGTCGATTTCTTCGACTTATATTCCATGAAGCTTCATTTTAGTTTTCTTTCTTCCCAAGATGAAGAATCCTTCCATCTTGAGAGGGAGTATTCGAGATATAAATAATATTTTATTTTAGTTTTTTATGTTTGTTATTTTTCTTTAGGATGAGTTGTAGAGTTGTTACAACCCCTACTCGTTTATTTTGATGTTATGTTTCTTAGTCTTTATTGTTCAAGCTTATTGCTTATGATCTATACACTTCAGCTTGAGGGGGAGTGTTAGAGAGAATATCTTTAGAATATCTTTATTATTTGTAAAGATTTATTTCCTTATTTTATTAAGATTTAGGTTAGGTATGGGCTAAGCCCATTAGTATTTCTTTATATATAATATTATCCTGAATCAATTCAATATACATATTTATTTCAATGTTTCTCTCATCTCATGTTATTTTACACATATCATTATGTTGGTGTTGATCAAGTGGTTGGTGTACGAATTCTTAGCACACATGCACAAATTTAACCTATAAATAGCTTTTATTTGTTAGAAATATTTTTGTACGTGGGTAATATTAATTAATTAATTTTTATATTTTAAAATCAATTTAATTAATGGGTATATATTTCAATTCAAGTCATATGATGAAACCATAATGATCATGATGAGTTGAGTTTTTGATATCCGTTGATACAAGTCTAGTTGGGCAATACAATTAGTGTTTGATTGGACTCCATGACCGGTGGACCCAGTAGACACACGGTTAACTAGGGTTATAATAGATCCACTCTATAGGTAGTTGTAACACCTTGTTCATGACCGGTTTGTTATCATGCATTATGTATGATGTTAAAGCACAGTGACAATCAAAGCAATTAAGTTGAAATTTACGAATAAACTTTTTTTTTTTTGTAAACAAATGAACTCCGTATTAAATTTTATCAACTCTATTCGTAATTCATCATACATTAATTGGAAGCATCATATTTTAACTTATAATCATCTACCATGTAACCCCCATAGATCAACATAGTGTTAAAACTCATTTTTACATTTTAGTGGCAGCGCGCTTTAGGGCGCTGCTACATGTAAAAATTCCTTTGTTCTGTGTGTTGTAGCGCTCCCATCAAGTATTTTTTCCACTTCATTAGCATGCTCTAACGCTCTAGGGGCCTTGGCTACTGCCTGGGATTTAATTAGCATGTTATTGGCACGCTTCAAGCGTTGTAACACGCTCTTCAAATGACTTCAGTGCACTTTCCAGAACCAAAATAAGTTCCATCGGGTATCATGCTATCTTAGGGAAACTTAACCCCATTTTTTG